GTCTCTCTCTCTCTCTCTCTCTCTCTCTCTCTCTCTCTCTATGAGATAACAGGTATTACCATGTGGAACTCATAGGCAGTATTCACAAGAAAACAATTCAGGGAAGATATACACCACATGCATTACTAATTCTCTAAAAATCTAGAATAGAGGGAGTGGAAATGGTTTTTTACTGAAATGTTCAATTTTGTTTGGGATGACATAATCACATTAGGAGTTCGACATTGTGTCCTTCCTCTGATATCTTTTCTTATTGGTGGAGAAGGGCGTTTTTCGAAGTTTATGCATTGTCCCGTTCCAAGTGTAACCTATGTCCTAAGCTTTATTGTACAACAATCTAATATTAAATACAACAAACAGGGACCGAAACCCCTTGGAAACTCAACATGTTTAAAAACATAAAAATAAAAAAAAATCCGTCTGGGACCTCTCACTGCTTTAGAGCATTTGAGCTTAAAAGGATAAATGATTGCTTATTCCATTAACATGTATACGAATTACAAAAATGGGACAAAAATTCTAACTCTTCACAGGACAAAACTTTATAATATCGAACAAAATAACATATGACAACTACGAAACAACATTGAGATGCCATCTCAACATTCCTTTCAATGCCCTCAATTGGATTTATTTTGTAATTATTCTTAGTAAAGTTTTGTACCGATAAAAAAGAAACATGCTCAAAACTAAAACATCGATAACTAATTCTGTTAATAATAATAGCCACCCTTGACCTTCCTCATGCAACACAAATATCTTAAAAAACAGAGCATAGCACAACAGACAACATTTGGTATACCCATTATTTCTAATATTACCCTGAATACAAACTAGGGGGAAAAAGAATCTGAAAGGCCAACCAATAATTCAAGCTACAGAATTTCAGTTCTGATATACCCTTCAACAACCACAAGACAGCGCTTATTAGGCACAAGCCGGCGAAAAGATGCCTTCTCCTGTATTGACTCAGAACGAGCATTGAACTGTAAGAAAGGAATATAAATTAAAAAGCAGAACAAAAGAGTTTGAGCATTGAAATGCAACAAAGAAAAATGAATTTGATCTAGGAAAGAGCCTGCTTTGATTCACCCATTCATTGCGGAACAGCAGCCTCAGCATTACAGTCCCCAGTTTGAAAACCAGGTTACCAACCAAGATAAAAGCCAAGAACCATAAAAATGGCGCAAGTAGTATTTTGCAAGCCAAAAACTGAAAAGTGCTCATATTTTTTGAAAAACTAAAATCCAGAAAACAGTCATTCTTGAAAAGTTCAGGCCACAAACTATGGGTTAGAAGACAACATTTGTTTTGATAGACATTGTGTTATAAACATAAACTGAGATAAATATTTTTGGTGGGGTGGGTTTGTGGGAGTGCTTTTTGTTTTCTTTTCCTTTTTTTTTCTGGGAGGTGTGGAGGCCGGGTTGAGGTTGATCAATTTAGATTTGAATCTTGACACTGTGCGGCATCCCTCATCACCTTATTCACTGAAACTAGAACTGAATCCCAAGTGAAATATAGAATAAAATTAACACAAGCATAGGGAAAGTACATCTTATGTATATAATACATGAAGTGTTTAGTAACAAGCCAATCAAGCATGCAGTGAACACCATAATACTGAAAACAAGAAGAGTAAATCTTTTTTTTCTCCACTATTCAGACAAAGTATCGAGAAAATAGTGTACATATTACTAGCACATGGACACAACCAAGGAGACAGACTTCCACCATTTTCCAGTGATCACAATGGATCTAGTGTTATTACGACATGAACAACAGAGAAGATGGAAGTTTACCATTTTGAAGTGATCAGGCTTCTCAGTTTTCTTTGTGAAACTAGGAACAAGTCCCCATTTCATGCAATGTACCACATATCCGTGTTTCGATTCTTGTTCCTTCCGAAGCACCGGTAGGTATGCTCCTGGTGCAATATTGTATGAAAGACGATACCTAAAAGGCAAACCCACCCAATTTCAAAATATGAAATCCGTTCAATAAATGTTCAGCACTAGTAGTGAAAGAATGTAACAAAAATAAAATACTCTCACCCAAAAACAACAAACAAAAAAAGGAGTAGATCTTAGGCAGATGATATTGTCTCATCCAAAATACAAAATATAGAGAAATTCTCCAGTGGTACACAAATATACCAATGTTGCAAAAACTTCTCACAAGAAAGTCAACAAAAACATATACAATCTGAACCAATAAACCAGCCAGTCGATTGAAAGGTAGTATTTCCGGCAAGCCCACTATTGAATTAGTGGGAGATTAAAATGCATATCAATGAAAAACTAAACAACACCCCCTCCTAATGTCATGGTAGCAACTTGTCAATTTTGTCTAAGATATCTTACGACTCCCATGTAACGTGTTTAAATCTATTGTTGAAAGAGTAAATCATCAAAGGGCCTTCAACTAACATAATATCAAACCATCCAAAGCCTTAAAGAAATAATCAGATCGCTCTCACGCAAGATATATCATTTGGTATAGCAGGCAAAGTTACAGTAGAATCCAAAAAATTATTAAAGCTTATGTATAAGATAAATCCCATGTGTGTACATCCCCTTTGTTATAGGACACATATATGTTGAAGTACATCCCTCATGTGATGAAATAACCATCTAGGCAACCAGCTTCTCTATTTGCAAAAAGACACAAGGGGAGTCCTTGAGTCCAGTGCTGGACACGTGGAATTTGTATGAGGCAGGTCAGGCTTTGAACCTTGAAGTTGGTCCCTCAAGAAAACCAAGCTAAAGAACCCAAAGAAAGGAACAGAGGCTCCAATCCGTTAAGAGCTATCATTGACATGGCAGCTTGTCAATAGGAATAAGGTTTTTAGCACGAAGAGAATGAAAATTACCAACACAGACCAGGGATAACAGCCGAGGCTTAGTTGGAATGAATCTGAACAAAAGAGAGGAACATTTTCTAGGAAGATTATATAGTACAGGATGTACACGAGAGACCCGAATATACCATGTGATGCTCCATCCTATGAATATAGAACAAACGACCCAATAAAAACGCTTGCTAGGATCAGAAGGAGGAGAAGAAGATGACTCTAAACTGGTTGAATCCCCGTAAGACTATCACATGGAAGTGGGCATGCAGCAATTACCTTGCTATCTTGAGTTGGAAGCTAATGTACATGTGTATTGTGCGGCATGATTTTGGAGGTAAGTAAAAAAGCAATAAACAGACGCATGTTCCAGTGCCGAGGCTGAGATTTTCTGAGCTCAAGTGGCTGATAACACATTTCCATGGCATCAACTCAGTCCTCCATGAATAAGCAAGCAAAAAGAGGAGGGTATAGAAAGAGTATTCATTACCATACCTCTGGGTGTGTAGGGTGGGGAGGTTGGCATTGAAGCCGCAGGCCCTGGGAACGTCCTCTACTGGATTCAAAGTACACCGGGCCCTTCCGCACATCTTCTTTCTCCCTCCCTTTTCCCTTCCTCCCTTGCAATTAAAATACCGAACACCACGTTTACCTGCACCTCCTCTCTCACTGCTCACCGCTAATGATAAACCTGACGGACAACGCATCTGATTTGGTTATAATTGAATAACATTTTTAAAAAGGCATTATTTGGTCATTAAGTTGTTTTTAATTGAATAAGAATGACTAATTATATTTATGTTAACTTTTTTTTTTTGACAAATACTATTAATTGATAAAAAATATAAAAGTTTTATTATTTATCACTAAATTTATATATTTATCATTGTGCGATTAAAATAAAATAAGTAATATTTAATTCAAATACTGATAAGTAATTGATAATACTATGTAATTATTACCTAATGTTTTCCTTGTAAATTACATTAGTAAATAATAAAAATATCATAATAAATCAAACCAAAACCGTTAATTTCACTACAATAATTAAAGCAAAATCCTGAAATTTTTATTCTAAATCTATTACCCTAGTATATAGGGATCTAAAATTGCTAAAAAATCTACAAGCAACAAATAAAAATTGACTTCTTTATCAATTATTAGCCACATTTACCCAAGTATTCATACCATTCGAAAAAAAAAAAATGAGTCCCTTTTTCCAAATAAAAGGTTAATATCACGAATTATTCAAACCCAACAATATAATACATCAAAGTAAATCTCATAGATCATAAGTTCAAAAATCCCTATTAGAAATTAAAATTCGTATAGAAGAATCAAAGGCGACTACAAAACTCTAATTTTTTAAGCAATAAAATAAATCATACCTCGTATGACAACACATGGCATCGTGAACATTCCTCTTCCCCTTAAGTACCTACATGATTTCTCTTCTTTTGTGCTTATGAGAAAGGTAATAGGTTGGCTTTCTCGCCATGGCCTCTTACTCTCCAAAAACTCCTAGTGATAATTGATCAATTTTATAATGTTGGTATGTATATGTGATCTAAACTTAAAAAAAGGAAAAAAAGCTTTCTTCCATAATCAAAACCTTAAGTTGTACATCAATGGATCAGAAATATCATGTGTCTGACCTACAAAAATATCATGAGTCAGAAAAAACTTATTCCTCTTGAAGGCTCTTGAAGTTGCAGATGAAACATAAAGGCATAGCTAACAAAAACCAATTCAAAACAAAGAGAATATGAAACATGAGAACCAAATAAAATACAAAAAATAGAAACAAAGAGCAACCATCAATTCTTAAACACGTACCTTGTTGGGTTTATGTGGCCTTTAAAGGCCTAATGAGTGTGTAATAAAAAATATTTATTATAGTGGAACGTAAACTCAATAGAAGTGTGGTCCCTCGTGGATCATACTAAGCAAATAATGTTTGTTGATACCGGACTGTGCTTGAAGATCTTGGGCAATCTGTTGGAAATCCCTAGGTACCTGGGCATAAAGAATAAATCGAGAAGGGTTTTGAGTTAGTCCTTGATGAGGTCGGAGCTTATGCTTGGATGAGTGAGTCGAAGGACTGTATGACCCTTGTGTGTGATGGTAGGCCTACAGAGACGGGGGCTAAATCCTCATTCATGTTCCATCACACGGCATGTATATCGATAGATCGTTCGGGAAAGCTAGTTATCCACCCTTTGGGTGAAGCATATGTATGTGCGAGAGAGATATCCCTATGTACCATAGAGTTGTGGTCGCATGTCGTGGTGACCAAGACTCGTCTCTAGGGGAGGACCTGTAATCCAAGAATTGGGATTGCGACCCCTTGGCTCATCAGCCAGACTTTGGTGACCCACTAATGAGCCCCTACTTAGACTGTGGGTCATGCGAAACACTGGGTCGGTTTGATAAAGCAAGTGTGGTCTGTAGTCCACAGTTGAAGGTGGAGTATCCTGTGATCGTTGACAGAATTCCTAAACCATATGGATCACTTCCCATCATATTAATTTAATTGTATTCATTTTATTATAGAAATTATTTTAGATTTATTATTTGAATTTTTATGAATCTTTTAATATTTTATTTATGATTTTTGGAAGTATAAAAATGAAGTTATTGATTTTACAAATTATATAAAATTCAAATAATATTTAAATAAAATTTTAATAGTGCACATATAGGCCCACCATGTGACAAATGGGTGGGGGGCCACATATGGGTAGGACGCCCCACCCATTGCTTCCTTTGTTATTTCTTTGATATCAAGTTTTGTAATTTTTGGAAAGTCCATCTTATAAGCATATCATCAAATATTGTTTGGGAAATATTGACCATATCTTATATTCATTATTGATAGAATATCTTGACTTGATATTTCTGAACATATTATTATAGAATATATGAGATGGATAATACAATTTTATGGAATGTATAATATATTTAATTTATTTAAATATATTGATTGGAAAATGGTTTAAAGAAAAGGGGATAATGGTTCATGCACATTTCATAATGTTGATGGCCCATTTATGGAATAAATTGCTCAGATCTCTCACCCAAAGTCACCTTGATCAATGGTCCATATTCAATCTCAAGAAAGAGACAAACTATGGGAACCCCTAAAGAAATCCTAGACCTAAATTTCACTATAAATAGGGGTGCTCTCCCCCCATCTCAACACACCTCTCTCTCCTCTCAAGCTTTCTCTCTCTAACCTTCTCTCTCTCTTAAGATCCATAGGGGGCACGCCCCACCCCTAGGTCTCATTCTCTCTTTCTCTTGACCTAAAAATACTAAAGGTTGGGAAACTTAGGGTTTGAGCCTAATTGTTTTGGAGTTAGGGTTTGTAGATATTTAAGGGTGGTTACATAGTTTGACTAAAATTAGCTTTTTCGATTCGAGATTGAAGTTAGACTGCTGATCTCGCGCCATTGGATGTGGTGACCTATGTGGGGCGTAATAAGGTTTGTTGAGGTAATCTCTGACATCTTCTCTTTTATTTTTTTATTCTCAAGCATAATATTAAGTTATAAAAATGGCATAAAGTGGTTGAGTTTTATTTTTATTTTTGTCCTATTTTATTTTGAAATATTTATTTATTGTAACAGACCATCTATAAGTGATCTTTTTGCTAAAATAAAAAGGAGTGATTACTATCATTAAAAAAAATAAAAATTTTATTCCTCTGGGAAAGATCACGCAGGTCTTTCTTTGATTGGAATCAAAGTTGGTTTTACTTGATTACCATTAGGAGTCTCTTTCTTATTTTTCTTTACTTGAGAATAGAAAGGTATGGTTGCTCATACTTTCATCTTAGAGATTCTGAAAGCCGAAAATTTTGATGGGACCAACTTTGCTTCATGCAAAAGAAAAATCAAATTTGTGCTCTATGAGGAAAACTTGCATGAGGTACTTCTTGAGGATCGACCTCGTCGTCCAACTGACGACTCATCTCAATAAATCAAAGATGAGTGCGTCAATTGGAAGAGGAGGAATCTGATATGCAAACACATTCTTTTATTTGTCATGACTGACTCATATGTTTCTAAATATGAGTCAATCTATACTGCAAGTGAGATTTATGATAAACTTGAGAGAGAATATGCTGAACCCTTTCTTATGAAGCAAATCATGGCTATGAGGAGATATAATGAGTTAAAGATGACAGAAAGTACCAAGTTTGTAGATCATGTGCATGTCTTTCGCGTGCTAGTCAGAAAGCTAGAAGACACAGGCATGAAACCCAATGAATCTATGCAAGTGATTCATCTTATGAATTCACTTCCTAATTCATGGGAGACCTTCATATCTTTCATCTCAACCAAAAGGAAAGCACCAAAACTAGAGGAGCTCATCACTGCAATCAAAGTAAAAGAGGAGAGGAAAATTCAAGGCAACTATTGACAACAACTCCAAGGAAAGCCGTGCATATGGTAAAATCTTCACCTTCTTTTAAATTTAAGAAAGGAAATGAAAGAAATAATTTTGGAAAGAAAAGATATTTCAAAAAGAGAGATTTTAGAAATAAGGGAGCAAGGAGAGAGACTCGAACTTGCTTTATTTGCAAGAAGGTGGGCCACATAGCCAATCATTGTAGGTTCAACAAATCTGGAGGGACCAACAAGGAATTGATATATGTGGTTTTTGAGTCTATGCTAGCTGACCCTAAGGGAGATTCTTGGTATCTTGACTAGGGGGCAACGGCCCATGTCACATACACCGATGATGGTTTCCATTTTTTCACTCCCATGGGGTCGGGACAATAGCATATTTACATGGGAGGAAATTAAAAGACTGATGTACTTGGAGTTGGAGATTTCGAGCTGAAACTGAAGAGTGGGAGCACCTTGATCCTAAAACAAGCATTTTATGCTCATGATATGATAAAGTGCTTGGTTTCGGTTCCTAAGATATCTATAGCTGGATTCATAACAACTTTCATTGGGGAGAAAGTGGTGGTCAAGAGGGAAAATATGTGATCATGATTGGACGACTTGTAGACGGGTTATTTATTATTGAATAAAGAGAACGTTGCTTATGTCTCGTCCCCTAATGAATTAGATGCTATCCTATGACATATGAGGTTAAGACACATTAATATCAAACGAATGGAAATATTTAAAAGGGACGGGATTCTTCAAAATTATAAGGGAGATCTGTCGAAAGTATGCGAGTCTTGCAGGACAAAAAAAGCTACTAGTGTATTGGAAATCATTCATAGTGACTTATGTGGACCTATGAATGTGACCACTAAAAGTGGAAAAAGATATTTTATCTCTTTTATAGATGATCACTCGCGATATGGTCATGTGTACCTTATTCATGCAAAATCAGAAGCCCTAGAAAAATTCAAAGAATATAAAACCCAAGTAGAGAATCAAACCAACCTGAAAATTAAAGTCCTTATAACCGATAGAGGGGGGAATATTCATCTGACATTTTCAAATAATTGGGATCATCCATCAGTACACTATGCTTTATACTCCTGAACAAAATAGTGTAGCTGAGAGAAGGAATATGACCTTAGTGGAAATGGTAAGGAGTATGATGGGGCATGCAAATCTCTCTTTGGAGTTTTGGGGAGAATCCGTATTAATGATATGTTACATCCTTATCCGGACTCCCACAAAAGCTGCCCCACTTACTCCTCACGAAATTTTCACAGGTCG